GGTCCCTATGAATGAAGCCAGCCGCTCAAAGACTACATTTATAATGCCTGATGAATTGTACTGAGTTCAACGTGATGCCGTTTGGCCTTTGTAATGCACCTGCCAACTTCGAACATCTCATAAACGACAACCCCAGATGCTTTAAATGGAACACATGCTTATGCTATTTGGATGGCGTCATGATTTTCTCGAACAACTTCGAATCCCACCTCAGCCGCCTCGCAAGCATCTTGACTTGTATTACGGATGCTGGACTGCAGCTGAGTTTGGAGAAATGCCACTTCACCACCCGCCAGCTTACCAACTTAGGGCATGTTGTTAGCAAGCATCGTGTCTGTCCTAATCCAGCCACGCTTCACGCTGTCACCGACTTTCCCAGGCTGGCTTCAATAAAATAACTTCAAAGCTTCATAGACCTATGTTCATATTTTTGCCGTTTTGTGCGCAATTTTGCCATCATAATTGCACCCCTGACACAGCTACTTGCCGACAACCAAGACATCACGGCGTGTTCCCCCGCACGTGACGGGCATTCGCTTCTTTACGCCATCTTCTGAGATCGCCATCTATTCTATGCTACTTTTATCCAGACGCTCCCGAAATCTATACGGACGCCAGTGGAGTAGGCCTCAGCACTATTCTTGCCCAGTGTAAATCTAGTTTTGATGAGTATGTAGTATCCTATGCAAGTCACACCCTCACTAAAGCAGAAAAGAGGTACTCAGTAACGGGAAAAGGATGTCTTGTCATCGTTTGGTCAATCAAAAAATTTCGACCTTGCATATATGGCCGCCCATTCGATGTCGTGACTGATCACCACGCATTGTGTTGTTTATCGACATTAAAAGATCCATCAGGTCACATTGTTTGCTGGGTGCTAATTCTTCAAGATTAGGACACTCGTGTAGTCTATCGGTTAGGCTGCAAGGATTCAGATGCTGACACTCTTTCTTCTTCGCCACTTCCCCGCAATTATGTTACAGCATCTGTTTCAAGCTGCGAATGTTCTTCACTTAAACATGCTGACATGTCCTCTTGAGCAACACCAGGATCTATGGATAGTGTCTCTCCTAGAGTACCTGTCTCAGACGTCTTCATGTACTGACAACTCTTCACTTCGACGGCTTGCCCACCATTTTACTATCCGTGATGGCCTTCTGTACCGGTGCAAACTACTTATCTGATGGGCGCAAATGGTTGCTGGTAATTTTTTGCCACCTACATTCTGACATCTGTGCCTTTTTCCATGCAGATTCGCAATGCGTCCATGCTGATATAGTGAAGACCTATGCTTGCCTATGGATTCGATACTACTGGCGCAGAATGTACCGCTTTGTTTGGCGGTACGTCCGTTCATGTTCCTTGTGCCAATGCCAGAAGAGCTCCTCTCACACAACCACAGGGCCACTGCACCCACTGCCTTGTCCTTCTCGGCTTTTCGAGTGCATCAAAATCAACTTTTACGATCCCCTTGTGCACCAAACGGAAATCGCTGGGTCATCGTAGCCGTGGACCACCTTACGCACTACGCGGAAACTTCAGAACTTCCCGAGGCCACTGCTTGTAAAGTCGGCTTGTTTATTCTACGCAATCTCGTCCTTCGACGTGGTGCACTTCGCGAGCTTCTCAGTGACTTTGGGCATTCCTTCTTGTCTAAAGCTGTAAAAGCCCTCTTGCGCGAATGCAACATCGGGCATCGAAAAACGACGCATATCGTCCCCAAACCTATAGGATGACCGAGCGATTTAATCGCACGCTACGTGATAAGCTCTCCATGTATGTTACCGATGACCACACGAATTGGGACCGCATACTGCTATTCATCACTTACACTTAGACCAGCGCCATTCAATCTACAACTAGATTCTCCCCGTTTTTCCTTTTTTACGTGTCGGGAACTTCCCTCGTTCCTGGACATTATCCTTCTGTACCGCCCAGACCCGTCAGAATCGATGACTTTAGCCGAAACCCCCACTTCTGCCGAAGAATGTCAGCAGCTCGCACGTTCACTTACCACGCACAATCAGGCTCGCCAGAAGCACACTCATGACTGACACTCATTCTGTTCGTCATACGCCCCTGGAAAAATTGTGTGGCTTCGCGTGCCATTGTCTGCCCCAGCTTTTCCTAAAAGTTTACACCCAAGTATGACGGTCCATACCGGGCCCTGTGCCAAACATCACCAGTCAACTACATTGTTGAACCCATTCAGCCAACTACAGATCAAAGGTGCCGCGGGCGCTAAACTGTGCACATCCACTGTTTGAAACCTCATTACGAGCCACCAGTCCTGCCTGTGTCATAGGTCACAGGGATGGCTCGTTTTCTACCGGGGAGTCTTTGTAGTGATAAATACGGGCACACCTAGAGCAACGACAAAGACGACATTTGTTGTGGCTGAGGCTCGTGCTGCTGCTGCTGCTGCTAAATTGACTGGCTGCTGTCTTGCTGCTGCTCGGCATATTAAACGGTTTTCTTACCGGGGTGTCTAAAGGTATTCTTAGAATATATATATATATATATATATATATAAAAATAAAAGGGAAAGAAGTGTATACCTATGGGCTCGTTTTTCCGTGTTTTGGCACAATATTAATGAGATCTAACAGACAGTAATGCCAAGGAATGTATAGGGGAAGTTATCAGAACAAATGGAATGTAAATAAGAAGAAAGAAAAGTGGGTGAAAAAATAACCAGCCGTCAGCAGGAATCGAACCTACGACCTTCAAATAACGCGTTCGATGCTCTAACCACTGAGCTATCACAGCGGCCTTCCCTCCATCCATTTTTTTTTTGGGTAATATGTGAATTTAGAAGTAGGAGTGTCAGTCAGCGCCATCTATAAGCCAAGCGGCGAGTGTTAAACACACTTTTATGCGCATGTGTGGCGTCACGTAGTACGTAAACTTATTACGAGCGGGCAGCTGACCAATAGTCCCTCGTATACAACCTAATGACACCAAGTCTGCTAGTACGAGACCCTCGTTAATGAATAAGGGAAAGAAGTGTATACCTAAGGGCTCGTTTTTCCGTGTTTTGACACAATATTAATGAGATCTAACAGACAGTAACGCCAAGGAATGTATAGGGGAAGTTATTAGAACAAATGGAATGTAAATAAGAAGAGAGAAAAGTGGGTGAAAAAATAACCAGCCGTCAGCAGGAATCGAATCTATGACCTTCGAATAACGCGTTCGATACTCTAACCACTGAGCTATCACAGCGGCCTTCCCTCCATCCACTTTTATTTTCTTTTTATTTACATTCCATTTGTTTCAATAACTTCCCGTATACATTCCTTGGCATTACTGTCTGTTAGATCTCATTAATATTGTGTCAAAACACGGAAAAATGAGCCCTTAGGTATAAACTTATTTCCCTTAATCATTAACGAGGGACTATTGGTCAGCTGCCCGCTTGTAATAAGTTCGCGTGCTACGTGACGCCACACATGCGCATAAAAGGGTGTTTCACTCTCGCCGCTTGGCTTATAGATGGCGCTGACTGACACTCGTACTTCTAAATTCTTATACAAACCGAAAAAAAGTGGATGGAGGGAAGGTTGCTGTGATAGCTCAGTGGTTAGAGCATCGAACGTATTATTCGAAGGGTTTCGATTCCTGCTGACGGCTGGTTATTTTTTCACCCACTTTTCTTTCTTATTTACATTCCATTTGTTCTAATAACTTCCCCTATACATTCCTTGGCATTACTGTCTGTTAGATCTCATTATATATATACATCTATATATATATATATATATATATGCGTGTTTGTGTGTGTGTGTGACAAGCAGGCAAATGAAAAGGTTAGAATTTAACAAAAAACAAAACCCGTACTTCGAAAACTAAATGTTTCACCTGGCTCTTGTGCCCAAGTACGCAGGCATTGTTGGGCGCATAGCTATCATAAGACAGGGCATCCAAAAAAAGTGGGTATTGCCTGCTTAGAGCTACGAAGTTCATTTTATAATGATTACTACACTAGAGTCATTTAAATGAGCACATATAACGTGCCCTCTACAATCGTTGACTTCGTTGTCTGTTTGTTTTAGTAGGCTTTCCCTGGTGGAGACGTGTGTCCAGCCCTGCATAATTGTTCCTCTTTATTATCGGTTATTTGGTTTAGGTGTCTGCGTTGTGCTTTTTCGTTTATTGAAACAAGTCATGTCATGTATATCGTACACGACTTTGTCAACTTCAATTGATGAAGGGCGTTTGTTTAAGTGCGTAGCACTTTAGGAGCCCGTCCATTCGTAGATATCATGTGGCCTGATCTCGTTTAAAGTCAAATGCCTGAAACATTGCTAGTGATGCTCAAAATTATCTTAAAATCAACAAAAAAGGTCCAAAGTAAAGCAAATAAGTGAAGTAGTGAAGAAGCGATTGCAATAACTAACTTCAAATGGCTAAAACTTCACCACCTCGCGAAGTATGATTGCTCTTCCCAAGGGAAAAGATTCGCTGGACCGCAACTTAACCGCACCGCAACGAGCACTAAGTCGATAAAGTGCAACAAAAAGTCTGTCTTACACAGAGTTTGTGAATTTCTGTGCAGAGATAAAACTCACATAAAACATTGACCTCATCTACAGTTTTGTGAATGGATCAAAGGGAAACGTAGCGGTGGAGCTGCATTTAACGGCAGAATTTATAATATCAACAATTGCTGGGTTTGAATGTCCTGAAAGCATGGCATGATTATGAGAGCTGCCGTAGTAGAAAGCTCCGGAAATTTCCAACAGTTTGAGTTCTTTAGTATGCACCCTAATCAATGTAAACGGACCCCAAGCATTTTTGTCTGCATCAAAAATGCCACGCCGCAGCGGAAATTCGATGCTGGGGCCGACGGGCCAGCAGTTGAGCACAGCGCAGGATTTAGAACTCCACCAATCAATACCCAAGAAGTTTTTAATATGAGCACAACCTAAAGAAAAGGCTAGCAGTGTTGTGCAGGACGAGTAATCTGGTTAATCGGTTGATTTGTGTATTTTCCACAGAAGCTGTACTCTGATTTCGAGCTACAAGGCATTGAGGAGGAGAAACTCAACTCGAAGGTGTACCAAACTGTCTGCAGTCGACTGCAGTTAGAGGAAGCAGCTGCCTCAGTATCGGATGCCAATAGCCGTGAGAAGGATGACTCAGAGTAAGTGAAATTTACAAAATAATTATTTTCACAGTGCAGACCTCTGTATTTGTGCTTGGGCTCTCATAATTACCTGGTAAGCCAAACATGCCAGAATAATATGTAACAACGAAAACATGCTAGATGTCCCACGTAGAAAAGGCACAGCACTCGTGTGTGTTTTGTTTTCTATGTGGGGTGTCTTGTGTACTTGCACTGTTAAATTTAATTCTAGAATATGTATGCACCAATTAGGCCCATACGACGTTTTATTAGAACACATCTGGCTTTGCCTACAATGTCTTATTCTGTAGTATTACTGAATGCGTAGAGACAATGTGCATTTACAAAATGTGCATAACACATGGAACTTCACTGCCAAAAGCTGCATGGCAAATGCAGGCTGGTTATATAGGAAATGCGTAAATTTCGCCTCGCTTGCAGCTGTGCCGGACTTCCTGACTCTGTGATTGCTTGAAAATACACGTCTGCTGTCTTTGGTCTTGTATGGCGAAGGATTCACTTCATTGAGATATATATAAAATTTTTTAGCCCTAGTACACTCGCCACACTGTCACGAACTTATCTCAGGAGCGCTTGCATTGGATAGAATTGAGAGAGTCAGAAGACAGGCATGGCAAAAACACACTTTATGAACCAAAGGATAAAAGGCAAAAAATTAAAAGCAAAAACAAAATCAACCCTTGCAGACTTAAAATTACCCCAATAACAGCACAAGCAAAACTGTCTGCAAACCAGTCTAAATTCATTGTTAGCCCTAGCCACTGCTCCTAATCTAATATGGCGTCTCAACAATCGAGCGATCTTACAGTTCACGTCGGCTTCTCTTTGTTACCTGTGTCGAGGTTTGTCAAGCACGTCGTTGACTTTGTCCTCAACCTCCTACTGTTGCCGTCGGTTGGTCACGTCGAACGAGCCGCTCATTGCCGTGGCCAGTGTCCCAGACTTTGTCGCCTTCTTTGGCCCCGCTAGGCTAGGCTTAGCCTCTTCATGGGCTTCTTTGAAGGCAAGTCTGCTCTGCTGACTGGTATGGGCTGTTGCCGTCCTGCCGCAAAGTGGGAGAGCTGCAAGTCGACCAGTAACTGCTGTGCAAGGGTGCAGCAAGTCCGGGCAGCCTCACTCTAAAACTCCGAGGTCGACAGCCAGTCCCCGGGCCTCTCGCGCTGACACCCCTCAGAACCAGGTGGCTATACTGCTTCCGTCATGGTAGCAATGCTCGTTTTCCATGTCTTTGCAGCTCGGGGTCCCAACGCACACTGTCAGCTCATCGTCTGAGATTTTTGCTCCCGGTTTGGGTCGCGTGCCACAAGCCTTTTTCTGACCAATCTCTTGTGTTTACGTGGCTGGTGCACGTGCTCTCGGGTGACTCTTTTCTCCCTGTGCACCTTCGCCGCGCTTCCAGATTCAGCATGTGCCTCATGCCTCTCCTTTACTCATGACACATGCACTTTTTCTGTAACTGCGTACTTCCCCCAATGCACCTGTGAGATGGTCTCAAATTTATGGACTTGATGCTGGGCGTTATTCATTCGTGGGACAGTAAACACATCCTTTGTGGTGATTTTGTTTGGGGAACGGTAATCGACGCTGGGTTACATCTTTCGCAGTGAAATAGCTTGAACTAAACAACAGACCGGATGAGAAGGAACACAGGGTGCACCAACGGGAAGTTTATTTACTATTTACGCAGATTAAATACAGTCGACTCCTCTTAAATGGAACTCGAAGGGGATTCATAAAACTGTTTCATTTATCACAAGTTTCATTTAAGCAAAGTACACTTATTTAGTGAACCAAGACCTTTATTCAAATTGCACAAACCTCACCTTACTCATGAGGATGAGTAGGAGAAAAAAAGGAGTGAAGAGTGGTTTGTTTGGCAAGCTTGAGTTGTTTTTTACAAGGTATGCATTCATGCCTGACAAACTCGCTAGAATTTCTGGACAACCTTCATGCTCAAAATAGCGCTGCAAAACCTCACCAGCCTATTTAGCTGATCGGTCTGGTGGCACCACTGCACTGGCAGTATTGTCATCACATTCATCACTGAAGGGTTGATCCTCATCATGTACTTCGGCAATCATTTCCTCGACAGTCTCTTCACGACAGGTGTGAATATTTTCATCAATTGATTTGTAGTCCTGCAGCGTGAAAGGGGCAGAGGGTACGACTTGACTGAATACTGTCTCAATGTCGGCATCAGCAGGGCTTTCTTCCTCATCAGGTACTGCTTTCTTGCGCTTGAAAGCCAGCATGGTGAAAGCATCTGTGTATTGTTGTGGCCTTCACTTGCTCTCAGGCATGAGCCAAAATGTGGATTGCTGCCAATAAATCTATGCTGTAGCATTTCCCGCTGTCTGCTCTACGTAGCATTTGATAGAGCAATTGTCTGCAGTAATGAACTTTAATGTTCTGAATAACCCCTTGATCCATAGGCTGGATCACTGCCGTTGCATTGGCTGGCAAGAACTCCAAAGTGATTGCTTGGAATACTTGAAACTGACTGAGGGCTGGGCAATTACCCACAATGAAGACAACCTTCCTGCCTTGCCTCATAAATCTTGCGTCTTCCTCCCGAAGCCAGTTTTTTAAAATGGCCATGGTCATCCACGCTTTTCTGTTCCTATGGTACACAACGGGAAGGTGTCGAATGCCTTTGAAACTACATGGGTGCCTTGATTTTTCTGTTACCAACAGCTTCAATTCCTCAACTCCTGCCATATTTGCACCCACCAGCACAGTGATGCGATCTTTACAGCGTTTTCCTCCACTACAGGCTTCGCCTTTGAAGGTGAGAGTCCTTGATGGAAGGGCCTTATAAAAAAGTCTCACCCCGTCGACAGTGAAGACGTCTCGTGGCTCAAAGCTCATCAAAATTTCCTTGAACCGCCCCTGTTGCTAGTCGGTGCCAATGTCTCTGTTGACCACTCTCACCTGTGATTGCTTTGAAGACTAGGCCATGGCATGTTTTGAAGCAGCTTAGCCATCCGTCGCTTAGGACAAAGTTCTTAACGCCCATTTGCGTGGCGATCTCTCAAGCTTTCTGCTCGAGAATTGGTCCGCTTACGGGCAAATTGGAAATCCATGCACGCTTGAACCACAGAAAAAGAACTTTTCTAGTTGTTCATAAGGCGTCGTCCGCATCCGTTTAGATGTAAAGGTCCCGTTCTTAACTGTGCCTTCAATCTTTTCTCCGTCTTTCCATATCCGCAGCAGCGTCGATTTCGGGATGTACTTTTTCGCCACCTCCATCTTGGGCAGGCCGCTTCGATCGAGCTCCTGTAGAATTTGCAGCTTTTTTCAAGCGAGAGTATATGGCGCGGCCGCTTCCTTTCCATCAGGCTGAAGTAACATCGTGATGCACCGCACTTTGCCGCACAAATAGGCCTAACCCACAATTGACTCGCGGACTTTGCTCCCACAGCCACAAGCGAGAATGGCTGCTAGATTGGCATGTCTTGATCTCAAGGTGTTGCCATAGTTGTGAGACTACCTCTGGCATGAGCGAGTCTATGCTGTGCTTAGAGTTTGTTCCGTTTAACCGTAGGTGACCAATAAGCACCGTTTCCCAATAACCGATGAGTTTTACTGTGCAACACATAGAAATCCAGCTATGTGAGCCCGTTTAGTTTCATTAATGAGGCATTTTCGTTTAAATAAGTTTCTTTATTGGTAGTCCACTGTACTTCCTTCAGATCAACAAATAGAAGAAATACGGATTCAGGAGTGATCACTCTTACTGCATGTGCAAAACTACTACTGCAAAAAATTTGACCTCCTTCTCCGGAAGCATGACAGGAGGCAAGCTGATGGCATGGCAGATTTCTGGCAGGAACTGTTTTACATGCACAGTAGGACTGATATCACATGGGGCACTCTCATACCTCTTTTGTTTATTGATGTGAAGGCAGTATTTATCTCCTGTGAAAATACTGAATGACCTTTAGTGTGCCTTGTGACCTCGTCTGGTTTATTGTTTTCACTGGCGCTGTGTGAATACGTACCAACTAAGCAGACCCTGACAAGTCCCATCCTTCTACTCTACTAACACACACCAACAAGCGAAAATGCATTAGGCCTGTGCTGGGTCATGTCTTCTGTCTTGTTGGTGGGTGTTCCTGCTGTGAACCAACGTTCCCTAAAAGAGGTTTTCATGCTTCACAGGAGATGCCCATGGACTCAAGAACAGGTGTCGTCCTTTCGTCTACTTCTTTATTTACAACCTCGCATTGAAACTCTGTAATGACTTTGACGTCTAGGCTTGTGTAAATATTTGAATGCTTCCATTATTCAAATGAACAATAGGGCACTTTAATTTGCTTCTATTTCAATTTAAATTGCTGAAAATATGAAGTATTTGCAAGCAACAAATACGTTCATATTAATCCGAATGTACCACCTGTAAAAGTGGTTTCGCTGCAGGGTAGAGGTGCTGAATGGTGAAAGCACCTATTCAAAAGAAATTCACTCTGCCGCAAAGCCCCCCTTCAAATTTAAAGAGGCCCTGCAAATTTTTTAGCATTATCAGAAAATGCTGACGATTGGTAGTCGAAGCTACCGAGGACACGCAAGCCAAATAATATAGCACAGCACGCGGCGTACGATTCACAACAAATTCTCAAAGTCAGCTAAAAATAGTTCTTTTCTCTGGGCATATGGTTCCAAGCATGTGTGACAAATTTTCTTTCCTCGTGCCATCGCTTCCTGCTTAGCTTTCAGCACTTTCGTCAGGACGAGAAGAGAGAATGAGCTTGCAGCGTGTGAGAAATATTTGCAACTCCGGGCATACTGAACGGATTCTAAAAATATGTGTTGCGGTGAATTCATGAGGCAAGGTGAGGCAACATTTTGAGAGCAACATCACATACTGCGATGGAAAATATAAAGTGGCATTACCTTTGAAAGACCGATTTGAGCTTTTGGACAACAAGCAAGTTACTGTGACAAGGCTTCGTTAGCTACTCATGCGTCTAGCAAAACAGAAAGGATTACTAGAGATA